TTGTGAATTGGTGCTATAGAAATAAACTGAATTAAATTGAGTGTTGAACATGTAAATCTGATAAGATAAAGTTTTATTTGGATTTAGAATAAGTTATTAAGAGACTAAAAATTCACAGGAAACACACCAAAGGTATTTTTTTATGCATTCGTTGTTTAACTCTTGGTGGGGAAATGTCTGGGACTTTTCTCTCTGACATTGTTTACCTAGAGGTGCGCCCTCTAGTGGCGGTAATGCCGTCATTCAGGTCTTCAAAAAGCAGGAAACGGAGTTTCTCCTCCCACCGTCCATCCCGTCATGCTGATCCTGCCTTCCTGTGTGTTTGATCGATGGTTTAGAGGGATCAGGTGAAGGGGAGTAGATAAAACATGTGACTGATGGTGAAACGGCTGCAGCTCGGAGACCAACAGCTGGACATGGAGGTCTGCAACCAGGACTGGATGTCTGCTCTACCGGAGGAGCTGTGGGACATTCCTCTGACACACCTGGCCATACCTGGTACCTACTCCACATTATACCTCCAGCATTCAGTGATCAAACAATTATTAGATATATTATTTATTTATTTATTTTTTTATTTATTTGAATTAAAACGTCGATTAAATATGATTAAAGATATATTTATCTTGACTTCTAGAAATCCTCTCCTACCATCTGAAACGCTTAATTCACTGATTAACTTTTCTTTCTAAGTGTCAAACTTAAACTATAATTTCCTGAAATTCATATCTGAACAACCTTTTCTGCTTTACAGCTCAGATTTTATCTTAGTGAGTCTTTTGTTGTCGAAAGCTGTCATTTCATTGGCGTTTGTTTATTTGTAATAAGAAAACACAAATAAATCTGGTCTTATTCTAAATAAACCAGAATTAATGTGTTCTCCTGCTTATTACAATTTGCAGCATTATAGCATATTCATACCAGCTTAGTATTACAAAAAAAGAATAATGAGTAAAACATCTACAAAAAAAGATAAAGTATTAAACTAAATATGATATAAGATCAAGAATAAAGCTCAATACTGCTGATCTGTAGGGTATTCCTAAGTCTCATTTTCTATATTGTTTTCAAAGATTTTGATAAAAGTACCTGATGTTTTTCTTTATCTTGCTTTGTTTTTGTCAAAGGAAAGCTCTCTTTTGTGTTGTACGGGGACAGGAGCACAATGTCTGAGCTGAATTTGAGAACACCGTGTGACTCTAGTGAAAAATGACTGAAGTGGCTTTGGAAGATAACATCAGAGCAAACTGGAATGGACAGATTTCATTATCAACACTTTCAGCATTCAGGGCCGTTTCAAGTAATTTGGGGCCCCAACCGAAGTTGACCCATAGGCCCATATTTTAAAAAAAATCTCAACAATCTCAACATATATATAACATATATATCAACACATATATATATATATATATATATATATATATATATATATATATATATATATATATATATATATATATATATATATATATGCTGTACTGTGAATTATAGAATTATATGTGTAATGTTATGCATATCTTATGCGTAGTTATATATTATGGCAGGGACTTTAACGCGTTAATTTCAATTAAGTATCTAGAAACATTTAATGGGCTATAAAAATTTATGCAGTTAATTAAATTTTTTCATGTATATATACATATATATATATAAATAACATGTTGCTATATATTCTGAAAACTCTCTGTGACCTCCTCAGCTCAGCCCTCAGTCTCTAGCCCTCGCCTTACTGTAAATCAAATTAAACAGTGAAGGGAGGGGTGGAGATAACTTCTGTAACCGACCCACCAAGTCCGAGTCACATCATGTTCGCTATAAAAGTAATTGCAGAGGCTGAGCGTCCCTAAGCGGATGCAGCAAAATGTACAGAAAAATACATAAAAATCTATTTAATGACTTACTTTTTGGTGTTTTTTAAAGTGTATGGTGATCTGATCTGAAATTATTTCTTTTTTGTACATGACTAAAGGGATACACGCCTGTTGAGGTAGTTTAAAGTCTATTTTTCATACAAAACTAAAGGGATAAATGCAAATCTGGCGTCTTGCTCAAGCGTATTGACTATGGGTATGCTGAATGAGTTGCAACTGGAGACGGCCCCCTTGAGGCGTATCCAGTTACAGCATTGTTGTAATTTTCTGCTTTGACAAATACTGAATTTAAATGACTGTTATTTGTGGTGGATGTCAGTTTATAACCAGGCCAGCCATTTTCTTGGGGCTTGAGGCCAGGTCGGGGCCCGAAGCAATTGCTTGATTAACTTACCTTGTTGCAACAGGTCTGTAGAGAAGCATAGCAACCATTTAATATGAATTATTTCCCCAGGCGTATAAACAGATACCAAGCAAAGCTTTAGAGATAACCACCATCCATGTCTCCTGTTTCCTTAACTTTCGCTATTCATGTCAGAATGAACTCTAGGGAGATCAGTTAAAGTGAAACTCTGACTCAGACATACCGTTGAGCCATTTTTAACTAAACTGGTACTCAGATGTTTTAAATATGCAAAAAGAAATGTAATAAATTACACGCCTGAAGCAGTTTTTTAGTATGTTAGCGCATGGGCATGCTGTTGTGATGTCATCAACACAATGCAAACAAAGCAGGATTTTTTTTTTTTTGTCCTTTCTGCTTTGGTGAAACCAAATCTATTAAATGTTGCTGTGGAAATCAATCCAAATTGATCATGTTTCTGCGCTATCAGTGTAACTTTGGTATTTAGAAAAATAAACCAGCGGGTGGTGTCTTTAAGGTCCTTTTTATATAAGGATATAAACTGAACTTTAATTGATCTCAAAATGGAGAAATTAACTTTTTGCATTTAACCCATCCTGTTTGGGTAGCAGAAGGCTTCCACTGTGCAGCCCCCCGGAGAGGAATCAGGGGTTATACGGTCTCACTCAGAGAGCCAGAGTGGCAATCTGTGGGAGTGGGATTCAAACTCACATCCTCAGGATTCCAAGCCCTATGACGTAACCTCTGGGCCGCCACTCCCCCTGTGTTATAGCAAGAAGGAAAGGAGAACCTTATAATTATCTTTAGAAATTCTGATTTTTAAAGACACCAAATATGATTTAGACATAAAAAAAACAATGATGAATATAGACTCTAGGTCAGGGGTCTGCAACCTTTCATATCCAAAGAGCCGTTTTGCCCAGAGTACTACCAAATAAAAGTTGTTTAAAGCCGCAAAATATACCATGACTTTTTCTAGAAAACCTTCTTTTTTTTAAAATCTTGTATAGGAAATTAGTTGTTGCCATCTCAAACAATCAATTCATATATTTTTAATGTTAAAACGTATCATTTTCAAGCTAATTCATAGAAAAATGTCTCTTAAAACATATTTCTGGTTCTTTTAATCTAATTTCTTTTCCATCTTATAAAAAAAGCTAAAGCTATTGATACCGGTATATATTATAGTAAATGATTTAGCTCTTTATATACATTTTAGCCGCTATTAAGAGACGCTGGAGAGGGTCCAAAGAGCCATATGTGGCTCTGGAGCCGCAGGTTGCAGACCCCTGCTCTAGGTCATTTAACTTCCGCTTCAGAAGCATTCACCACCTCTGTCCCTCCCTTACTCCACACACTGCTGCCACACTTGTCCACAGCCTGGTCACGTCTAGACTGGACTATTGTAACTCTCTCCTCTTTGCCCTTCCTCAAAAATCCCTCCATAAACTACAACTGGTCCAGAACTCAGTCTGCCCGCATTATAACTAGATACACCACATCTCCCGGTTCTCCGACAGCTCCATTGGCTACCTGTGCAGTTTCACATTCAATATAAAATTCCTACGGTGACATTCAAGGCCCTTCACCACCTTGCCCCCCATCAGGCCTCCTGCATGTTTCCAACCCCCTGCCGTGCTCTCAGATCCTCCTCGTCTTTATAACTGTCTGTCCCTTCTGCCTGTCTCACCACCATTTACGGGCGAGAGGCGGGGTATACCCTGGACAGGTCGCCAGGTCATTGCAGGGCAACACAGAGACAAAAAGGACCAACAACTATGCACACAGACTGACACCTAAGGAGAATTTAGAGAAGCCAATTACCCTAACAGTCATGTTTCTGGACTGTGGGAGGAAGCCAGAGTACCTGGAGAGAACCCACGCATGCTCAGGGAGAACATGCAAACTCCATGCAGAAAGACCCTGGGCCGGGAATCAAACCCAGAACCTCCTTGCTGTAAGGCAGCTGTGCTACCCAACTCATCTGTTTAAAATCACCTATTCTCTACAATATTAATTTCCCTGTCCCAGCCTTTGTATTTTTTAAATGGTTTTATTCTGTGTTTTGACTTAGTTTCTGCCACTGTGTTTTTATCTTTAGTACGGTGACCTTGAGTGTCCAGAAAGGCGCCTTCAAAATAAAATGTATTATTTAAGGAATTGGAACTTAAAGGTGACAGCTACAAGTTTAACTCCTCCCATCCAGTTAGGTGTGCGCACACCTGCTCTTTTTCTGCACTGTTTGCCAGCCATTTGCCATACCTGCTGAAGCTAACCAAACATTTAACTTAGCAGTTATGAAGAAAAGCAGAGACCTTATTTATTAAGTGAACACAAACACTAAAAGTTTTATCAAAGTTCACCTTTTGCTTTTTTTAATCTATTTTTTGGCTTAATTTCTCAGTGCTATCATGGAGCTACCAGGATCTGGCAAATCCTGAGCTAATACTAACCCTACTGGTGCATAATCATTTCACATACTACATCACATTACAGCTAGAAGTAAAATATTTTTGTATTTTGGACCCATCAAAATGAACAAAACAACTATCTATACAAAAAAATAAATAATACAAAAATTGTAAAATTAAGTTTCATTCTGCACCACTTTACATGCCCTTTTGATAATTTTTTTTAATCAATTGGATTAAAGAGTTGTAGCTATGACCTTTAAGTGAATATATTTATACTATAGTTTAGGCAGAGCCTTTTATAATCAAACCAGCCATATACGAATAAAACAATAATAATAAAACATCAAGTTAGACAAAAACTGCAAAAAAATGAAATCTAAATAAACTATTTTTTCTTAAAATAAGTGCATTGTTTCTTGAATTAAGCAGGTAAGTGAGACACTCACCAATGGAACAAGACAATTTACATTTAAAATAAGAAAAAAACAATCCCATCTTCTTATTTCAAGTGCATCTTATCTCATTATCTTATTTATAGAGTAAAAATACTCATTCCATTGGCAAATCATTTTATTTACATTCTCAAATTGAGGGTAAATACATTTAATTGAAGAAATATTTTCTTATTTCAAGATCATCTTTGCGGTGTAAAATTCTAGTTTTAAATGACATCCTTTTAGAAACATTTTCTCTTCTTGGGAGTCTTAAAGCTTGATTGGTGTTTTTTTCTTTTACATAGGGAGCCATGACGCCATGAGTTACTGTCTGGACATAAACTCGCCTCTCCTCAGGTCTGAGTCTGACTTATTCAGGATCCTGGATGGACTGTTTTCCTGCTTTACCAGACCTGTCATCTTTAAATGGGCCACCACACAGGTATGAAGAAAGGTGGCATAAGAAAAGCAAAGTTCATCTTTAATAAAGAGGATCTAAATTCATATGCTCTTTGTACACAATTCATCTTTCATTTAGAAGCTTTATTGCATTTCTTCATGTTAAGAACCACAAATGACGTGTTTTATGGAGATTTAATCAAGATAAAAATAAACATTTTTTTTTTCCTCTTTTATCTTCAACCTCTTGTGTCACATAAACTGCTAATTTTTTGTAAACTGTCCGTACCAGCCTGGGAATTTTCCTTCACATTTTTCTCTCCAGAACGGCTAATGATCTTTCATACTGGATGAAGATCTGATAAAATATATTTTTTAAAGTCTTGCCCTAGATTCTCTAATTTCATTGAAGTGTTTACTTTGAGTGGGCCATTCTAACACTTGGATAAGCCGTAATCTGAACCATATTATAACCATTTCTAATTAAGATGATCTTATTTCTATCCAGCTTGCCTGTCAATGCTGAAAAAAAAAAGCATCCCCACATCATAATGTCACCACCACCGTGTTTTACAGTAGGGAGAGTGTTCCAGTGGAGGTGCAGTGTTAGTTTTCTATCAGCTATAGAGTTGTGCTTGTGCTTAAACAGATAGCATTCTTGCTCATATGTGCTTTGTCCCTCATATGGCTTATGGCAAAAGGGCAAACAAGACTTAGTTTTTTAATTGAGAGCCATTTTTAATGCATCTCTTTCCCAGAGCCCAGGTTTATTTACTTATAGTCTTCCTGTCTACTCATTTTCCTACCTGGGCTGTGGATCTGCAGCTCCTCCAGAGTAACTATGGTTCCTGCTCCCCTTACACACTGTGAAGCTCACTGTCCATCAAAGGGGGATATTTTAAGTATTGCCTTATGCAACATATAACCGGAAGTGCAGTTTAAATGTCTTTGTTCTGCTTTCAGCTATAAGATCTGCTTCCCTGTTCAACTTTTTCAAAAGTATCTTTAACTTTTTGTTCTCTTTATGCAGCTTATACCTTCATAAACCAACAGTCATCGTTTCAGTTTCTGCTTCCTACATCTTCATCACCTTCCTCTCTTTTTTGTCCTTATGTTCAAACTGAAGACGTTCCTTCATTTCATGCAAACACATCACTCCAAATCAGCTTTATTCTACAATCACAGCCGAGGGATAGTAAGAATCAGGCTCTTCCTTTACCAGCAGGTAGTTGGTTTGATGTTTACTGCCTGGTTTAACTTTGGCTCCGCCCACAAGCTGCTAAAGGTAAAGCAAATTGATGGACTTTATTAAACACATTTATAACCCCTTTACTCCAAGATCCTGGAATAAAATCTAAAGGACTGAGAATTGTTTCAGTTTTACACAGAGTGGCTGGAATGAGGCCATATTTAAAAGACATCCATGAAGAGAAAGTTTATATTTACTTTACTGGATACAGACTACATGTGGAAAAATACTTAGAAAACTATCTCTACACCCAGCTTACACACAAAGTATGACTCAGTATCAGGCCCACTGCGACTTTTTTGTTTTAATTATAAGAATTAAGCCATAATATTAAGTAAATATTCCAAATCGTATCAGAATAAAGCTGTGATATATGAGTAAAGTCAAGATGTTATGAAAAAAAGAAGTTTTTTTTATAACTGACTTGAGGTGATCAGCTCTACTGAACAGCAAACCTTCTTCTTATAAGAGTGACATGTAAGTTGGCTGCCCCTTTAAATCTCATCATATATTACATTTATCTTTCCAATATGGTGGGGAAGATTCTCAGTCATCTAGGTCATAGTGATTCCAAAAATGTTAAAAAAAAACAATCCACTGGACTTTGTTTCCAAGTTTAAGGAAGTTTTGCTTCCCATGCATGAAGCTTTTTCAATTCAAATATCAGAAATAGGGTTGAGTTGCTTTATAGAGCAGCCCAAGAAAGGCTTGTTTCTGCTTAGACAACATGCAAATAAAAATGGACAAACCCCTTTTTCCAATATGATTTCAGCCTTGTAATATTAGGACTATTTTTCTCATTTTAGAACTTTGTTTTCGTAATATTCTGATAATATTGACATTCTCACAATACCATGACTTTATTCTTTTAATATTGTTTTTTGTTTTACTTTGTTATATAATGTTATGGCTTTATTTTCAAATAACTGCAACTTTATTCCCATAAGATTAGGATTTTAATATAGTAACATGACATTCTCATAACGTTATGACTTTATAGTTGCATTATAATGCATTTCTCATAAGACTTTAATCTCATAACAGTATAACTTTATTTTTATATAATGACATAAATCTCATAAGACTTTTATTTTAATCTTGTAATTTTATGACTTTCTTCTATTAATATGCTTTTTATGTATATATTATGATTTTAATCAGGTAAGGTTACAGCTTTTTTGTCATATTGTAACATCCTTGTAATGTTTGACTCTTTCATAATTTTACACCTTATTTTTCACAATAATCTGACTTTAATCTTGTGATTATACAACTCGATTCTGATAATGTTAAGGCTCAAGATATCACAACTGTATTCTTATAATAATATGACTTTAATCTTTTAACTAATGACATTTCTCTTGACTAAAATTATGACTTTATTCTTGTAATATTGACCCTTTACTATTGTATTCCTAACATATATGTGTTAAAATGCATCTCACATACTAGTTACTTGGTTGTACACTAAGAGACATGGTGGTGGCAGCATTATGCTGTGAAGAAGTTGGTTGGGGTTAACGGATGGAGGTATTTAATGAATGATTTAAAGCTGTTAGAGGCTAAAAAATATTTTTTTTTGTTAGCTAAACATCCACCAAGATCTACAGTAGTTTGATTTATCAAAGTTTGGCTTGAAACTGCAGAATCGACATCATTGGAGCCAGAAATCACGAGTGTCATGAAGCGAAGGAGCTGAGATGGTCCAAAGTTTAAAAAGTGAAAGATAAATACAGCAATGAAATTGATATTTGTTGCTCTGAAAGAACAGGAGCTGAAAATAGGGGGTCAGAGTTTAAAGGCTGAGGGTCAAATCAGGAGGAGGGAACATTCCCCAGATTAGAGAAACTGCAGAGTTGACTGATTGTTCTAGAGCCTGGTTCCTCAATACCACTGGAAGATCATGTGATTGAAACTGAAATACTACCTTTAGGTGTCCTGTTTGTGTACAACGCTCAGCCACGTAAAAAATGGCTTATTGTTCTGTAATGGTATAATCGTGTGTGAAGGCAGATTTTTCTTTTTCTTGTCACTGTTTGTCTCAGACAAACGTGAGTAAATATAGAAAGTTACTCTCAAAGAATCTCAGTGCTTCAAGGAAAAAAAAAACCTTTCTCATTCCCAAAATGGAGTGCAATATGCTGATGAAGATTTTCAGTCATCCAGGTCATAGTCATTCCGTAAAAGTTTAGAAAAACAAATCCACTGGACTTGGTTTCCAAGGTTTGAAGACGTTTCGCTTCCCCTCCAGGAAGATTTCTCAATTCAAATGATGAGAATGTCATTTGAATGTCATGTTCTCACATTTGAATTGAGAAAGCTTCCTGTAGGGGAAGCGAAACGTCTTCAAACCTTGGAAACCAAGTCCAGTGGATTGTTTTCTTAAACTTTTACAGAAAACCTCTCATTGTCTTGCCAATAGAATAGAGCCCGCATTTGAATAAAACCTGTTTGACAACATGAGGCTTAGTCAGTTCGCAAAAAGCCATAGAACACACCTTCATTTAAAACAATGAACAGATTGAAAGCAAAACAATTTACTTTTATTAGGTGAAAAAGCAAGGTAAAGATCAGGGATCCCAGTGGTTCATAAAGCGTCATCCAAAAAACACATGAAACATTCATGAACCTTACCACGAGGGACCGGTCAATCAAAATGACTAATGCCACGTTCACACCGAAAGTGATTTGAGCAGCAAAGAATTGTTTGCTGCTTCATTTTTGATGGTGGATGAGAGATTACAGCAGAACCCAGAACATTTTCTAAAGCACTGCAGGATTCAACTCCGTTATGGTCAGGATTTGACAGTAAGAGAGGGGGAGGAATTAGCATCCACTGGAACATTAAAAGGTGAAAAGTATTGCAGAAACGTCCTGATGAACTCCAAGATCTTTAGGGTGGTGCAGTAGGTACCACTAGTGCCTTTAAGCAAGAAGGTTCAGGGTTCGATTCCCGGCCAGGGGTCTATCTGCTTGGGGTTTGCATGTGCTCCCTGAGCATGCATGGTTTCTCTCAGAGTACTCACACTTCCTCCCATAGTTCAAAAACATGACTGTCAGATTAATTGCCTTCTCTAAATTCTTAGGTGTGAGAGTGTGTATGCATGCTTGTGTGTCCATGTGGTGCCCTGAAACAGACTGGCAACCTGTCCAAGGTGTACCCCACCTCTCACCAAGACGCTGCCAGATATAGGCACCAGCCCCACTGCAACTAAGCGGGGGAAAATGGATGGAATTATTATTCGAAGGTGTTTATCCCGATTTGTTTTTGCATCAAGAACACAGCATTCATCGTGTTTCTGCATGTTGGATGTATTTCCTCTGGCGGATGTAATTGCCACTTTACAATGATTGCAAAGCGTCCTGTTGCCAACTTTCTCTTCCTTAAAATGAAATGGCGGTCATCACTGCATAAAATTTACAAATGAATGTTTAGAGAAACACAAAGTGAGTTTGGGGTGGCCTCGTCCTTATTTGGGCTCGGATCCAATAGAGAGATTTTAATCTCTTCATGCTTTAAGACCCAAAGTGCTGAATTCAAACAATTTGGCAAAGAAGAGCAAACCAGAATTTCTCAAGTGGAAAAACACTTTTTTTTTCCCAGCTTATTTTTATTTATTGTCATTCCACTGTCACAAGTACAAAGCAAAAAAAAAAAAAGAACTCTGCATTTAAACCCAGAGCGGCAGTCTGTGGGAGTGTGGCTTGAACTCAGAACCTCAGGATTCCCTGCTCTATGCCCTAACCACTAGGCCGCCACTCCCCCCATTCTACTATTTCCACTGTAGAACAAAAACAAAAAAACATTTGATGGTGTGTTGTTGTCTTCAGGACAAGAGCATTGAGGAGCAGCTGGCAAAGGGAATTCGGTTCTTTGATCTCCGTGTCGCACACAAACCAAACGACCCATCCGACGACCTCTACTTTACCCACGTTATATACACACACTTGACAGTCCTGGTGAGTTTAGGTCCCTTTAACTGCTTTTTTTCTGTTCTTTCCTGGCCATCAACATTATTTTCTGCCCCCCTACAGAAAACGCTGGAATGCGTAGCTTACTGGCTGAACTCTCACCCGAAGGAGGTCGTTATCCTGGCTTGCAGCCATTTTGAGGGGATGGACGATGAGTGCCACGAACTGTTCATCTCCCGTTTAAAAAAACTGTTTGGCTCCAAGCTCTGTCCCCGGAAGGTCAGCGTCCTTCTGCTGCAGGTGATGATCTCCCCATAAACAAAGCACTGCCTCACTGTCTGCACCCTGCCTGTGTCCTTACACAGGAAGCAGTCCTAAGCCTGCGGAGCCTGTGGGCATCCGGTTACCAGGTCCTTCTCTCATATGAATCCCAACTGGTGGCAAGACATCCGCAGCTGTGGCCCGCCATCCCGTACTGGTGGGCAAATAAACAAACGGCGGACGGTGTAATACGCTACCTGGAGTGGAACAAAGACATGGGACGTCCAGGTGGGTTGGTCTTCAGAATGCAGAAATCCTTTATGTATAAACATTTGACCATAACCTAACATGTGGCATGAATTTATGTTCCCTTGGGGAAGGATGTCTCTAATAGCTTAGCACACCTACAAACATTTTCCCCGAATCTTCACCTAATTTCTCAAAATGAGAAGCCTAAACGTTGAGCCTTGCCGTTGATTCTTGATTGGATTTTGTTCTGGACTTTGACTAGGCCATTCTAAGCACAAGAGCAAGATTCAAGTGATAGATTTGATCCTGTCTTTAGCTACATCTATTCCTCCATCATCTTTGACCAGTTTTACTCGTCCCTGCTGAAGAAAAGTATTCCTATGGTATGATGCTGCCACCACCATGCTTCACTGTAGGGATGGTGTGTTCATGGTGATTAAAAATCTTCTGGCACAAGATATTTTTCACAAAGCTAAAATGTTTTCTATCCATCTGACTGGAGCGTCTTCCTCTGGAGTTTATGTCTCCTCAATGGCTCATTAAAGCTCAACCAAATGTTAATAAAGTGTAATAATCTAACCATAACATAAATATAAAATGTTTAGTCACATTAAAGCAGAAATTGAGCTTTTTTTTTTTTACATCTTTTTTTATGGGGAAAAAAAGTGAATCACATTAGATTAAAATATATTTTTAGACTTGTTGGAATAAATCCCATCCCTCAAAGCCTTTCAATAATCAGTTCAATTAATTTCAGTTCAATAATACACATATTTTGACTGAATATTTAAAATCAGTATGGGACATAAAAAACAGTGCAAAATGACTTTCGTTAGTCATTTTCTATGCAATGAGTATGTGAATTGGTAAGAATTTGCAGATTCGATAGAAATCACAGTTTATGTCTCACAATAGGATTTATCCCAGTACATTAACAAAAACAATACATTGTGATTTTTATTAGGAGACAGGTCTTAAAACCTGACAAGATCTTGTTGCTGCTCTGCTGCGGGTGGTGCAGAGCAGCTCCTAGAGGATGTGCTGCCAACTAGTGGGTACTGATTAAATATCTAAATATTAGTCAGAATTATTTATTTATTACACCCCTAATTACTATTTTTCCCCCCTCTAAACAGAAAAAAAGAAAGATTTCTAGTAACTAATAAGGTTGAGAAGCTTAAAAAAAGTCAGAATAAATGGTGTGCAGGTGGTGCACAGGTTAGTGCGCACCACCCATGTATGGAGGCTTTAGTCCTCGAATCCGACCTGTGGTCCCTTTGCTGAATGTCTCCCCCTCTCTCATACATTTCCTGTCAGCCCACTGACAGAAAAACGAGCCACTAGTGCCGTAAAAACTCAAAAAAGAAAGTCAGAATAACAGCTTCGTTTTGTCCCTGCAGTAATGTATCTGAATTAGCCTTATTTAACACTCATATTTCAGTACTCTTCTTTCCTGCATCACATTAAATAAACTGGACTTTCAACTTAAACATCTGCTTATTCCTTTTAAATAAGCAGCATCAAGGTATCAATAAATAGCCTGAGGTGAGAAGAGCTTAATCATTCACATTGCAGCTAGATGCTTTTTACAACCCTTTTCTTTATTTTCATCTTATTTGAAGCCTCTCCTGTTTTCTAGGACAAACTCTGGCCTATAATAGGTACAAAGATCTCCACCAGAGATAATAATATAAATAATATATAACAGTGAGGTGGAAGGAAAGTGATGTGGTCTTTAATCAGCTAAGATTAGCTGCAAGTCTTCTAACATCTATATGTTGGTTGATATGATAGAAAGCATTTACAACAGTTCATTTCCATGTGTTGGATTGTCCTGAATTTATTTCCATCAAGTCTGAGCAGCAGTTCCTTTTACTTGTTGCACTGACCCCACGGCATGATTCCAGCACTACCATGTTTCTGTCATGGCACTTTCTATCCCATGTTCACTGTGTCCTATTTAGTTTGGTGGTGGGTGTAGATACTTTCTTTAGAGGTATCAGAGTAAAATGTACTGGCACAATTTTCAGATGTCTCCTTCCACTTTCCTCAGCATGCTTTATGTTGGTTTATCACATTTTGTTAGTTTAAAATGTGAATTAAGTAAGTAGGTTGCATTAAATGTGAATGATTTCCTGGGATGTTTGAGTTTTTTTGACACCTTCTTGTCTTTGCAGAGTGTTTCTTTGTTTCCGGCCTGAACCTCACGGCCCCGAGGGCTTACATCGCCAAGAATCAGAAGGAATCCCTGCGAACGCTGACCTTCAGTAACTGGGAGCGTCTGAGGGAATGGGTGGAGAAGCAGAAGCCTGGATCGGACCCCGACAGCCTCAACATTATAGCAGGAGACTTTGTGGGGCCGCTGCCCCTCTGCTCCCTGGTGATAGCCTTGAACCAGAAGCTGCTGCCGGAGAGCTCCACCCAGAGGGGGAAGATGTACTGATGGATTTTTAAAAAATGCATCGAAATTCTCTTTTCCCAGCCTCTTTTACTGGATGTGATTTTTTTGAATCATCTCCGATTCAAAGAGAAATCATCATTTATTGAAAACAAAAAAATGACCTTCAGCATCTCTAATGTGGAATCAATATATTTTTACAAAAAAAAACAAAAAAACAAATTCTATTTCAGATTAATCAAATCTGATCTTTTAATCACCGCAGAGCAAAAATATTTTTTTAAGGTTCAGAGTTGAGTTCTTTTTAGCTTCCTCTGTTCTCATCTACCTCCGAAAAGTTTCTTGTAGCGTCCATAAGCAGCGGCGCTGATGATGACCTTCACCACAGCCGAGCCTTCGTCTGCGTCCACCTGCACGTCCTGAACGGTGGCTTCTTTGTACAGCCAGCTGTGGACGGGGACACATGATCACCTCACGGCACAGAAACCGACACAGTGAGCCGATAGATGTGCTCATCCTGACCTTAACTGAGCACTGCTGAGGTCAACTCGCAGGTCTAAAATTTGTTTTCCGGTGGATTTTACAATCTCCCGCTCCACGGCCTTTTTCAGCTCATCCAGGCCTCGCTCCTGCAGGGCAGAGATCAGCACCGCGCCCGGCTCTGAGCTTTCATAACTGCAACATACGCACAGGAAAACAACAGGTCACCAGCATGTAGTTAGAGGCAGTTTTTATTATGATTAATGTGGGTAACTGCACAGGGGGGCATTTTAGACGGGAGGTGGCACAATCACCAAATAGGGAGTTCAGAACAGCTTTTCTTTTGATTACAGTTTAGAGTGAGCGCCAGCTAGTGTTAGGCATATAGCACTTTAGGAAAACCGTTTCAAAAAGTCTTAAGGCTGATTTATACTCAGAAATCAGGTCGTCTGTGTGTGTCACAGTGAACGCAGATATGCCCCCGCCTGTTCCGCAGACATTCTGCTGCACCTCTCCAAAATTGTAGGTGACCGCAGACAGTGCTGTAGAGGAGGCCTCTGATTGGTCAAATCTACATCCGCTCTACACTATGTGTATTTCCTGTTTGGTAGCTTACCAGCTTGTTTTGTTTGTTTTACCTCCATTGTGGAAAACGATTCGTGAAGATGGACCAGCTAGAAAAGCGAAGTGCGTGAGAACCCTGGGACCCTTTTTGTCCCTCCATTGTCGTAAAAACTTGCCCCCACTTCCTCACGGCCTAGGCTGTATCTAGACCCACAGCTAGTTGGTGATTGTCTCTCTTGCGTTGTGGAATAACACAGCGCAGAGTGACCACGCTTAGATATTGGGTATAAATCTAAAATATCTGCAACAAGCTCACTGCGACACACTGCTAATAACCAGCCATTTAAGTTGAAATTAATCCTCTGTGTATTAAGAACAAATATTTGCAGTGTGGCCAAACAAGCGCTGAATAACACTGAATAGAGAAGAGATAAATTTCCATTTTTTTATTTTTTCCTTTTAAACTTTAGGACCACCAGATAGACATAAGTGAAAATGGTCAATTCAGACCCTAAAGTTTTGACTCCTGGGTGATTTAGATGTGCATCCGCCTCCATTATACCTGATCCAGAGAATAATTCCCCTAAGAGTCTAATCAACTACCTCTTATTATATTAACTACCTGATATTGGACATCATTCCTACACTGGTAACAGATTTCATTAAAAAAATAATTCTATAAAAATGCTGCTTGGAATTATGATATTTTGTGAAAATAAAAACCAGAGAATGTTAGTCTCTGTTTATAAACTACAAAATAAAGAAAAAAAAAAGTGTATTTCTTTTAACAGAAGCTGTTATTATTGTGGAGGTGGTTAGGGGGGGAGGGGCCAGCATTAGAAGCCCCCCAGGCTACCATTCATGTTAACCTCCTGTCTGTGTTTGTTAGCCATAATTAAGTTCTTTGTTCCCCACTCTTTCAACAATAGATAAAGGAGAAAAAGAACATTTGTGAGGACAGCAGGGTGGCTGGTTAAATAAACAAACCCTCAGGTCAAACTTCCAGACGTCGCATTTAAATTCAAGAAGTCAACTCTTCACCTCCAGCATGTTACTAAGACCAACAGGAAGGAAGCCTTTATTCTTACTTGTCAAGTAGGTCAATTTTGTTGTGAACCTCGATCATAGAGCCCAGCAGCCTGTGTGGGATTTCCAGGTTCTTCAGGACATTCAGTACGTTCGCCTTCTGATTCACCGTCTCTGGATGACTAATGTCTCTGACATGCACCAGCAGATCCTGGGAGACACAGAAACAGAAACAAACAGGGTCTGAAAAACACCTTAAAAACACACAAAGTATCCCCAGTTAAATCATTTAGTTTGCAATTCTGTAGCAGAGAAATTCTTCATAAATGTCTGCGATGAAGATTAAAGCTAAAAAATCTATCATCTATCTGTTCTCCTGATAGATGATAGCTTGTGAGGCTCACACACACCATTTCTTAACCCTTTAAAACAAACTGTATCATATTTCATACATGAGTTTTTGAGACTTCTGTATCATCAGCGTGATATTTTTGTTCTTGAAAACCCTAACTTACACAATCAGACTCATGTAGTGAACAGAAAATGTGTAAAAGACTATACGGAAATGCTTAATGGATCAAAATTGATTTAAATAAATGTTATAATATATGTAATGCTATGTATATGTATGTTTTTTATTTCATTTGTCAGAAAGTTAATTGAAAATTCTATTTTTTTTTTTTTTTAATCTTCTGTCAATTATTTTACGGTCAAGGCTTTAAAGCAGGGGTCTTCAACAGGGGTCCGCGACCCCTAGGGGTCCACGGAGGTACTGCATGGGGGTCACAAAATTTTTGGTTGATTAGACTTCTTTTTTTTTTATATTCCCTTCTCCAGTTTTTTTCTACTAATTGAAATGTCTTTAAATCCACATTAACATGAATTCAACAGACTGTAGTAAACAGATAAATAGAACACCGAGTACAACCCAAAGTACACCATCCCCACCGTCAAGCATGGTGGTGGCAACATCATGCTTTGGGGTGCTTTTCAGCCAAGGGGACGGGATAACTCCATTGTATTGAGGGGAGGATGGACGGGGCCATGTATCATGGAATTCTGGACCAACATCTCCTTTCTTTCTTCTTTATTATTAATAGTAGGATCATTATACCGGGTTATTGCACAGGGTGTTTACACTGGTATTTATATGGAATGATAGATATCCCTCACACCAAGCGTGTTTGTAGCGACAGTGGACAGGAAAAACTCCCTTTCAACAGGAAGAAACCTCCAGCAGAACCAGACTTCAATAAGGCATGTGACCGAAACCACTCTGACAAGGGAGTTCAAGGATGCACCAGAACTTCCTAACAACCACTAACACCTCCCAGGTGACCTCCATGGCCAATCCAGTAGGAGGGATCAAAGCCACCTTATGTTTTTTCTCCTAATTATTTGTTAGACCTACAGTATATTAAACTCAGTGATCCCCAATACTACTTAGAACTGAAGAGGCCTCTTTGTTTGGAGGCGAAATGTCTTCCAGAAAACTTCACATTTAGTTGCCTAGGCTGAATCTTTTCAAGCTTTACTGAGAGAATCTAAATTGAAGAGGAAAAATTGACAACAAATAGATGTTTATTCCCATTTCTGCTTTTTGGCAAAATAAAATATACATCAATGTCAGATTTTTATGTAAAATGGTTGATTTATACTGTGTTTGCAGCAGAAGGAGTAACCGTTGCTTCCCCTCTTAATATTGTTATTGTGTTATATTATTATTTCTGTAAATGCAGGGAGATGATATATAACGCCTGGCGCTGCGAATCAATTCAAATTTCTGAATTCAATTTGATTCTGATTCTCCTGATGATGTCTAAACATGTTGTACATCATGAAAAGCACCTTATCCAGGTGTGTGCATAAAAAGAGGAAAACTAGACTCCATACCGAGTGTGTGATATCTTCCAGGGTGGCGGAGAAGGAGTCGATGAGCTGGTGTGGAAGTTGGGACAAGAAGCCGATGGTGTCCACATACAGCACGGTCATGTGACTGGGCAGCTGGCCGGCGTGGACGGTCACATCCAGGGTTGCAAAGAGCTGATTCCTGGGCTGCAGGCTGCTGTCGCCGGTCAGAGCTTTGATCAGAGTGGTTTTTCCTGAACAGATGTAATTAAAAAAGTGTTAAAAGATGGATCAGAATGATCTAAACGAAGCATAATGAAAACCGCTTCCAGCCTCTGACCACAGTTGGTGTATCCGAGCACAGACACGACGGGGAACTCCCTGTGTTTTCGCTGAGACCGCAGGAGATGCCTCTTTCTACGGAGTTTTTCCAGTGCAGAGCGAATCTTCCCCTCCCGTTCCTTCAGCAGCCTCTGCTGGACCTCGTACAGCGTCTCCCCTGGAAGAACCAACCAGGAGGGTGAATCTGGTCTTCAGCACAGAGCAGCAGCTTATCGACCGGCATGCAGGCTGTCCGCTGAGGGCGCTGCTTCACCTGATCCTCCGATGTATCTTGATCCTCCACCTTGCTGATCCAAATCTGCCATTTCATTTTTTAGACGAGATCTGCAGGTGAAACACAAACTGGAGTTTACAATAACATTTATTATGAAAATGCATTAAAAACCATACATAAATGCAATAATTGGCCAAATATCCCAGATTTAAATTCCCACAATTTCATCACACATTTTGAATGTATAAATAGAAAACTGATCATGATTCCCTGTCTGATATTTCTGCAGTTCTAAAGCTATACAACCTTCAAACTGAAGAAACTAAAATGAATGGATGGGTAAAATAGTTTTTCTTTTGCCATAACTATAGTAAGTTAAAAAAGGAAACATTTACCTGTATAGCACAGTAATTAAAAGTGCTTTACATCATAAAAACATCAGAACAAAAGTGAAGTAAAATCATTACAAATATCAGTCAAGTAAAGATCAAATCCTGGAAAAATCTGAATTATCACAGAAAACCATAAAAAAAAAAAACATCAACCAGATCCACATGATAACCGTAGGGAGAAGGTCAATGCGTTATTAAATCAGAGCAGCTTTATACTAGGATTTGTTTGTGGGCTGCTAACCCAAGGCAGCTCTAAACAGGTGGGTCTTCAGTCTTTATTTAAACTAATTTAGTGCTTCAACTGTGTTGCATTTTTCTGGGAGTTTGTTCCAGATTAAAGGTGCATGAAATGTGAAAACTGATTCTCTTAAGTTTGGTTCTGGGAATAATGGCTGAACAATATTGCCAAAAAATTCAATTGAGATTATTTTTAACCAAATCTAATCAAACTAATCACCCCAGGCTTTCAGTTTTAGAAAGCTTGCTCGCCCAGAGCACATTGTTACAGGACTTTACTGTAACCATTGTGTGAAAAAGTGTTTACTTCTACTTGCATGCACGTTTCTGCGTGCCGGCTGCAATTATCTCTCCTTGTGTGGAGACAAAGCAACTTCAAGCGTTTTACCACCACCAAAAGGGTGGAAGGGAGAAATGTACCATCTTTCTCACGTTAAATATAGTGTGAATAAAAATCAGCGTCTCTATAATTTGAAATTTGTTAAATTGCAATTATATTGCAAATGCAATTAATTGGGGGAGTGTTGGCATAGTGGCTTAGAGCAGTGCACTTGTGCTTTGAGAAGGTGCAGTCCCCAATGCCTCCACTCTGTGTTCCTGAGCAAGACCCTTAACCACTGATTGCTCCCTTGGCGCTGCACATTGGCAGCCAACTGCTTCCTGCCCCGGGGTCTTTCTGCATGGAGTTTCCATCTTCTCCCTGAGCATGCGTGAGTTCTCTCAGGTACTCCGGCTTCCTCCCACAGTCCAAAAACATGACTGTTAGGTTAATTATCTTCTCTAAATAGGTGTGAGTGTGTATGTGATTGGTTGTTTGTTCTGTTTGTCTCTGCCTGGCGACCTGTCCAGGGTGGGCCACGCCTCTCACCCGTAGACAGCTGGAGATAGGCACCAGCGCCCAGTATCAGAAAATAGATGGATGGATGGATGGATGGCCACTCCTACTGGGAATACAAAAGTAGACTGGAACGGGAAAACCTGAATGTTCTGGAAGATTGATACCATGATAGTACATCTTTAATGTGTATTTTCATACACTAACAGTATTTTGAAGTATTTTCTATGATCTACACGTAGCAGGTGTAAGGACTTTTAAATCGGGTCGATGTGCTCTATTTTTCTAGTCTTAGTGAGGAATAGAGTTTAAAATCCTCCTTCTCACATATAAAGCCTTACATAGCCAAGCTCCATCTGATATCAGAGATCTGATTGTTCCTTATGTTCCTAACAGAGCACTTCGCTCTCAATCTGCAGGTTTACTAGTGGTTCCTAGAGTGTTGGGCAAGCTACTTGTCCAGTG